CTCGCGATTGAAGCACGACAACAATTCCCAGGGCGAGGAGGGTGGAGTCCCATTGCCCGCCAAACTGCGTGCCCCCGCTGTGGGAATCCAGCAACGGTTTCACGGCCTGCAACCACATGGCATCAAGAACGCCGGCAAGCTCGTCGATAATGCTGATCGGGCGGGTGTTCACGAGGGCAGAAACCTGGACAGGCCCCTTCTTCCTGATTGGAGTGATGTCCCGCAACCACCCCGAGGCCACCAGGCCGAGAACGGCCGCGAGGTTGACCACCGCCCACGTGACCTGGGTGCCTGCCATGGCAACCGAAGCGCTTCGTGGCAACCGTTGGCTAGCACGGTCAACGTTGATACTGCGCAGGGTGTGCGCGACAGTGACATATGGAAATGGGTCTCCCTCAATATCCCCGGCTACCCCATGGAACGCTTCCCGGCGGATGCGTTTTAACTCCCCCCTTACCCATTGGTTGCCTGCTCGCGTGCCGGGGCCTGCCGCCTGCGCGCGCCCAAGAACGTCGTCGGTGAGCGCCTCGACGATTTCCTCTGAATCGAGCAAGCGGCCGTCGGGCCCCCGAAGGGTGAGCTCCACCTGGCGCTTGGGGTGGAGAAGGTGCGTCACGGCCGCGTCCGGGTTGCTGGCCCCGTCCACCACCAGACGCCTGAAGGCAGCGACGCGTCTGTCCTGCAGGTTGTCGCACGTGCTAGGGGTTGTCCCGAGGAAGGTGTTGGCCTGCTGGGCGACCGTCGCATGCCAAGCAGGGGGCCGAGGCGGGCGGCATGCGACCAAACCGCCCACGTGCCCGCACACCGTGTACAACACCGCGCGCCACCAGACTGCTAGGTCGAGGAGGCGCTGTCGCGAGCCGCGTCTCGCGCCCGACGCCGCCCACCGTCTGATGGTGGAGTGTCGCATCGCTGTGGCGGCCCAGCCCGTGAGGAACTCCAGGGAACGCGGGAGCAATTGTAGTGCAACTTCCCAGTCACCGCCGTGCCCCCAGCGGGCTCGACCAAACTGTTGGGAGGGTGGAAGCGCGAATGCCACATGGCAGAGGGCATCTACTCGGGCGTGGTCGCTCCGGACGCCGCCCTCCCCGAGTGGTTGTACGCATACCTCCACAGAAAGTCTCGCCGTAGCCGCCACCACATTGATGACTGTGCCGGACCTGTGCGTGGCCACACCTGGGCGGTTACGTAGAGTGCAACCCATGCCGCTCGACCCAGTCAGGAGCACCTCCACCTCCCTGTCGAGCCTCTCCTTATACCGTGGGTTGCTGCCGCCCAAACTACCAAAATGGAGGTTGTAATCGCCCAGCACAAGCACACCCCAACCAACGTACTCTGATCTTCCGACCAGCTGGGCATGCTCCTCGCGCCGCCTACGCCAAAAAGACTCGCGGACTGCAGCGGGGAACCTCGCATGTGGACCATAAACGCCTAGGATGAGCACTCCCGGGCACGGGGCCTGGCCAGGCAACGCGAGCCAGATGGCTCTCGGGTCACCCACGTCATCAATGTGTGCCAAGGCGGACATCATGCCGGAGCGAATTAAAATACCGACCGTGTCGGGGTCCCTGGATCTTTCTCCAACGAAGTGGAAGCCACAATCTTCAGGCCACAAGGCGCCAGGCCCTAGACGCGGTTCCGAAATCACTGCGATGTGCACCCCTACCTGCCACAGTTCGCACGAGAGGGCCCGGATATGCTCATAAGACGAACCTGCTCCAGACTGCACGCCAAAAGCGCCCTGTATGTTGAAGGCGGCCATGTGGAGTTCCTTGAAAGATTCCCCGCTCTGCCGCGGGGCTTCTTCTGGGCGGAGCCCTCCCTCCCAGGCGCCATGGCATCGATTACGCGGGAGGCCAACGCACAATGTTTTCAAACGGTGGATCCACAGACCGATCATATCAAGCACCGCAGCGTGGAAGGTTTTGTGAGCACCAAGGTCTGACGGAAGCTCCTCCAGCCCGAAAGGCGGCCGTGAACCGTGCAGCGCGTCCATGTCCCGGAGCATGCACAAGGCTGACAATCTGCCAAAGGTGCACGGGCGGACGAACACACCACGCATCTCCGCCTGAGCACGAGCCGCTGCAGCCTCCCCTGCCCAATCCAGCAGGAGGCGCGCCGACGGCTCGCCTCCCCGGCGCGGAGACCGTGAGCGCACGTGCGCCGCCGGCATCGCCCCCGGCCACGCGGGGACTGGGCGCGGCCCGGCAGGAACCAGATAGCTGGGGAGGGAGGCGGGGGAGGAGGGAAGAGGAGGGGACAGGGGGGACAGGAGGAGGAAGAGGAGGAGGCGGAGGAGGAGAAGGAGCGGGGAGCGGAAGAGGGAGGAGGGGGAGGGGGGAGGGGGAAAGCATGAATAATTTCAGGGGGGGGGGGCTGGGGTCGTCGCCCTCCTCCGCCGCCCGGCGGCCCCGGAGACCTCCGACCTGGGGGCCTCGATTTCAGGCCCTGCCTGCTGATCATCAGCTCTGATGCTGACAACTCATGCCGATGCTATGCCGATGCTCCCCTGTCCCACGTTTCCGCAGCGGGGGGGGAACATTACTAGCCCCTCGCGTGCACCCCCCTCCCAGCACGCAGCGTCCCAGAACCGTTGGGCACGTCTGCTTGCACCACATCCGTCTGCCTGGCGCCGCGGGCATCCAACGCTTTTCCGCCACAGTCCATGTCCTGGGAGGGCACCTGAAAAATGGGGTGGGCGGGGAGGGAGGAGGAGGAGGAGGAGGCCTCCTCCTCCTCCTCCTCCTCCCCTCCTCCCTCCTCCTCCTCCTCCTCCTCCCTCCTCCTCCTCCTCCTCCTCCTCCCTCCTCCTCCTCCTCCTCCTCCTCCTCCTCCGATCCAAGGCCCACGCTGGCGGCGCGCGGCTGGCGCCTCGCGGGAGCCATCGGGGCCGCCCGGCGCCGCCACGCGCGGGGGGGGCGCGGGGGGCGCGCGAGCTGCGGCCGCGCCGCGCGCCAGGTTTAGGAGCAGTTTGGGCGACGACGACGACGACGACGACGACGACGACAGCAACGACAGCAACGACAGCAACGACGGCGACGGTGACGACGACGACGACGACGACGGCGAAGAGACGACGACGACGACGACGACGACGACGACCGCGACGACCGCGACGCCGGCCCCCGCCGCGGCCCAGGCCTCCCTGGGATCGCAGCCTGGGCGACGAATAGAAAAGGGTCTTATGCAAGCTGGCACGGCGAGATGACTCGATGGCCTGCGCGGGCCACCAGCGCGGTGCAGTGGAGACGGGGGCGCTCACGCGCGACCTTAGACGGGCAGCTCACGCGAGAGTGCCGGCGCAGTCGAGCCCGCGCTTCTGCGTCGCTCCTCTGGCGGAACGCGAAAGGGGATCGGGGGAGGGAGGGAAGCTTCTCGGGAGTCTGCTCCAAGCAGGCGCCAGCCTCGCATCCAGAGGCCCGGCACGCCCCTTCTGAGAAGCAGGGTGCCTCTGAGAGGCAGGGCATCCCTGTACCCCTGGGAATCATCTCTCCAGGCGATCCTTCTCGGGGTTCCAGAGGCATCGCAGCTGCGATTGGCATTTGGCCTGGTGGATAAAAAAAATTCGGCCTCGCCGCCCCCCACCGCCAACCAGAAGTCCTGGCCGGAGATCATATGCGAGGCCACCTTGTATACACCACCACCGCCCGCAACAGTAATTTGCGGCAAAAAGGGTTAGGGGCAGGGTCATGCCAGACGACGCTGCGAGGCCACGGCGAAAAGGAGCGCGGCGCAGCTCGCAGGCGCCGTGGCATAGGGAGTTCCTGAAGCAGAAACAACACTTCTTGGTGATGGTATAAAAATCGCTCCCCCTGGTAACCAAAATTATATACACCACCACCGCGCGTGCTTTGATGAATTCTGTTTCGGTCCTTAAGAGAGAGGGGGCAGCCCGGTTGCCGCTGGCGGCGGGAGGGGGACTGCTGGCTTTTCACCAAAGCAAAACTGCACCACATCGCATCGTAAATGATTCTCGATCTTGGTGGTGGTAGTCATATACACTGCTCGGATCATATCAACAGCGGGGGCTTCAAGGAGGGTGGTGCGGAGAGCCGCCGCCGCGCCCCCGGGGCACGTGGAGGCGTGCCAGGATGCCCAGTGCTGTCTGGCAGGGCTGCTGTAATCTTCCAAGGGGCCCCCTTCCCTCCAAGGTCGCGTAGAGGCGCAACAAGGGCTCCCAACGTCGCGCTTCGCGCTGCGCGAAGCGCGAAGTGCGAACAACTTCGCGCTCTCGCGACGCCTCCCAGGGGAGAAGAGGAGGATGAGGAGGAATCGGAGCCGAACCGCGAAGCGCGAAGCGCGAATAACTTCGCGCCCTCGAGGGCGCCCTTGTGCAAGCATCGCCCCCTGTTCCAGAGACTCTGTCGGCGCCCAGACACGTTCCTGGCGCTCTCGAAAGCTTCAAAAATGCCCTAGATGGCTTCCAAGACGGACCTGAATAAGGAACGAAGCCCCTCTGTGGCTTCCAAAAGCCTGGGTGCACGAGAAGGGCTAGAGGAACGACCACGGAAGGACGTAAGGAACATCGAGCCCCTCCCGAGTCCAAACCGCTCCTTATCTCAGCCCCCTCCCCCCCCATCTGGCTGCGACGAAGACCACCCAGCTCGCCCCCCCACACGGGAAGGGGCCGCGAGAGGCAGGCCCAACCAGTGTGTGAGAGGGGACCCCGGGCAGGCCCGCCCTCCCAGATTCTTCGCTCACGCGAGGGGGACGAGGAAGAGGAGGAGAAGAGGAGGAGGAGGAGGAGGAGGAGGAGGGGAGGGGTACCCAGAGGAGGTGCCGGAGGGGAGGAGGAGGAAGGAGGCGGAGGTGGGGACCGGAGGAGGGGCCCAGAGGAGGAGGAGGGAGGAGAGGAGGAGGAGGAGGAGAGAGGAGGAGGAGGAGGGTCCGGAGAGGAGGAGGAGGAGGAGGAGGAGGAGGAGGAGGAGGCGGGGAGGGAGGAGGAGGAAGGGGAGGAGGAGGAGGAGGAGGAAGAGGAGGAGGGGGGGGGCGGGCGGCGGAACGAGCGAGATGGCCGCCGCCGCGTCCAGCGCGAGGCACGTCACGAACTCGCCGGTCTCCGGGGGCAGCGCCGCGTCCCCGACCTCGGCGGGCGGAGCGGGAGCGCCGCATGCGGCCCGGGAGGACGGCCCCCTCGGCCGTAGCCCTCGGAAGGTGTTGTGGATGCCACAACAGTGGACACCCCAACAGTCCTAGTATCGAATTGAAACTGTGTGTGTAAAATGCCGGATACATGTTCTAAACAGGGTTTTAAACATGTGGTTCACCTGCTTAAAAGCATGTGGAACACGTGCTCCAGGCATCTGGAAAGTATGTTTGGCAACATGCTTCCTCTACATGTGGTCGTCCTCCACAGAGATGGTGCTGAGGATGCCAGGTGACGAGGTGGGCCGCGCAGCCCGCGAGAGAGAGCTCCTCCACTGTCGGGGGCCTCGCCCTCTTCCCCCCCCCCCCTACTGGCCTTGCCAGGGGGAAGAGGAGGAGGAGGAGGAGGAGGAGGAGAAAGAGCAGGAGGAGGAGGAGGAGGAGGAGGAGGAGGAGGAGGAGGACGGGGGTGGAGGAGGGAGGAGGAGGAGAAGGAGGAGGAGGACGGTGGAGGAGAAGGAAGAAGGAGGAGGAGGAGAAGGTGGAGGAGGAGTGGATGGAGGAGGAGGGGGAGGAGGAGGGGGATGGAGGGAAGATGGAGAGAGGAGGAGGAGGAGGAGGAGAGGTGGGAGGAGGAGGAGGAAGGGGAGGGGGGAGGAGGTGGGGAAGGAGGAGGAGGACGGCAAGGAGGAGGTGGCGGAGGAGGAGGAGGAGGAGGAGGAGGAGGAGGTAGGAGGAGGAGGGGTGAGGAGGAGGTTGGAGGAGGAGAGGAGGAGGGAGGACGGAGGAGGAGGAGGAAGGAGGAGGAGGCGGCTAACACACTATCTTTGTCACCGTCCCCCTCGGTCGGCATCGCACCGCTCGGCGCCCTGCTCCGCTCCGTCACTCCCCCCACGCGGTGCGATTTCTGTCGACGTCTGGGTGTGTGCTTCTTCCCAGGCTTCGGCCTCCCAGGGCCACTGAGAAGGAGCCGAACTCTATGCAGGGCAGTCTTTAATACATTGGATGTGTAAGGATATAGGATTCTTAATACAGTATTAGTGTATGAATAAATGCATGCATAAACTCAGCGTTGTTTAATACGATATCCCTGCCCCTGCATTGTTCATACATGATCCGCACGCGGAGCATGTATTAAAAACGGCACCGTACACCGACGCTCTTTCTGGCCCCGCACCGAAACTCGCACAGGAAAGCGGATCCTGGTGTATACAGGGATTTGGTGTATACATGTTTCGTTCTTGCCACGGGTAAACCAGAAAACAAGTATACACCACACTGCCCTGACGTCGTCGCCGACCCGCAAAATATCTTGGGATTGAAAAACAACCCGCCACTGGTAGTGTATATGCCCCAGTTTCCGAACTGAGGGGCCCCAGAGGGCCGTCAAGAGCGGACCCAGGGGCGAGAAACCGCCCCGACCAGGAAGGGGTCGGGACCTCTGGGGCCGCGGATTGCAAAAATCCTCATCGGCAGAAGGCAAACCCCTACCCCCCGCCTTCTACCCCTCCCTCCCACCCACTCCCCCTCCGACTCCTTCACCTCCCTCCCCCTCTGCGGAAGGGGGGGGGGGAGGCGAGGACTGGGCGACATCGCACTGCTCAGCGCACTGCTCAGCTGAACCCACCTCCCCTTTCATCTAGATATGGGTGTTCGACGACGAGGCTACAGGTTCGACGTGGTTGCAGCGCTTTTCGCCTGTTTCCGGGATTCCCGCACGCCTCGTGCCTCCGAAGCTGGACTCCCCTTCAAAATTCCGGTCGGAACGAACCCTCGGACAGGTCCAGAGGTGCGACGACAACGGCGACTCCCTCACACCCCTTCCCCTTGCCTCCCCCTCCCTCCCCTCGCCTTCCCGCCCCACCTCCTTCCCCTGGCTGCGTGCTGAAAAAGTCCCGCTCTTTTCCGTGCACTGTTTTTCTCGCGCCGCATTTGCAAGTTGATAGCTGACATGCCGCTGTTCAATCGGAACGTCCTCAATGTGTCAAAATAATGTTGCCGCTGCAGCGTGCGACTCATTTTAGGATCGGCGCTTCGGCCCCGGCGGTCAAACTGGCGTTCTCGCCCCAGCGCGGGCAACTTCTCTGGATCCGAGTCTTCCCTCACTGTTCTCTCCCCGCTCCTGTGAAGGGGCCCCAGGACACACAAACAAATACACACAAAAAAAATGTTCCCCATAGTTTCCCATATGTTCTGGGTTTTTGTCTTCCCCCCACCTCCCATATTTTCCCATATTTTCTAGGAAATCGACGATTAATTGTGTCTGTGTGTGTTGTTTCCCCTCCTGATCCTTTTCCCTCCTCCGCCCTCCGCTGGTCATCCTGCTCCTCCCGCTCGTCGACCCCCCGTCCTCCTGCTCACCCCGCTCATCTTCCAGCTCCTCCTCCTCCTCCTCCTCCTCCTCCTCCTCCTCCT